CCAATTTTCAAAGGAGAACGATGTGAAGAACCTTCAAGCTACCGACCGGTGGCTCTTCTCTGCATACCTTCAAAAAATATGGGGTCCCTGATATGCGACGGCATACACGACTACTTATTTTCCTTGAACTTCTTTTCAACCCAACAACATGGTTCCAGGAGGGGTCATTCTTGTATAACCAACCTGCTGACACTGACTGACAGATGGACAACCATCCTTGATCGCAAGGGGAGGGTTGACGTCATTTAACTTGACTTCTCAAAAGCTTTTGATAGGGTCAACCATATATATGTCTAATTAATAAGCTCAAACGACTGGCCATCAAAATCATGTCTAATTGATTGGTTCATTTGATATCTAAAAAAATCGACATTTTAAGGTCACGGTTAAATTCAATTTCTCTCAGACCAGAGAATGGCCTAGTGGGGTCCTCTAGGGTTCTATACTAGGACCTCTTCTTTTCTTGATTTATACGAACGATTTTCCACAGCAGATACCATCTGACTTATTGCTTTTTGCTGATGATGTGAAACTTTGGAGAGAGATACTCAACCAAGAGGACATTCTGACACTTCTGGAGGATCTGACTGGACTTCAAAGTTGGGCGGATGACAACAGACTTACCTTTAACACCTCACAGTGTAAAGTAGTCCACCTGAAACATGTTGCAGACTACGGTTACAATTTAGGAAACTCCTCTCTAGAAGTATCCCAAGTTGAAAGAGATTTACGAGTAATGGTACCCTACGATTTAAAATCTTATGCTAACTGTGACCAAAATGCCTTTCGGGCGAACCTTGCACCGGTAACATTGAAGCACATTTTTGGCCGGTTTCATGGAACAACGTTACGCACAATCTTCAACAGTTTACTTCGTCTCTATTTAGAGCACAGAAGCATAGTGTTTCCTACCTCACTACAAGAGGATGAGGACACCCTGGAGCGCATCCAACTGTGAGTTACGAAATCAGTTCGGAGACTCGAATTCAAGTCTTATGCAGAGCGCCTTTAATCACGGAACCTTTACGCATTAGAGTACAGGTGTCTCAGAGGTGACTTTCTAATGGCTTATAGTATCATTAACACGTCTGAACATCCCCTTAAACAGCTACTTAAGTTCAACTCCAACGCAAACCTAAGGGGCAACACCCAGAAACTGGAGACACAACACAGCAGAACGGACTGTAGACACAACTTCTACTCCTTAAGAGTTGTCAAATGCTGGAATCCGCTGCTGGCTGAGCTATTCCAAGCGACTTTCCAAGAGTCTTTAAAGAGAAAACTTGACATATTCTTAAGGACTAAGGATAGAATCTTACTATGATTAACCAATTTTTCTTTTTCCTCTTTTATCGATAATACACCTGGGTTCTTGTCTGGAGTTATTAGCGACCCACTGCCACTAGACACGAAAGCCCGTTAAGCGAAATCTTCTATTTCGTCAACAACCATTTGAACCTCCTTAGTTATTGATGATGAACAGTTATCAGGTCCGTGTTCTACTTTGGATGGTATGATCTGGAATGAAACTAATTTGAGTGTATCTTATACTTTGTACCGTGACTCTTCGACATATGAGGTAGTAATTATTGACCAGTCTGTTGTTGCTTCAAACTCTGACATCATGATTCTGTTACTTTTACTGCATAGCTGAATTAGCTCTAAAATAAAGTAATCAAATAAGTAAATCCGACTTCGTTAGGTGAGTCCGAGTATAAATGTATAATCTTCGAAAATGATTTCACGACTAGTAATCTTACAAGTGCCATTATAATGAGATTCACAAACAAAGGAACGGATATTTATATTATTGTGTTACAGATGTAATAATTGGCTTAAATTCAACCAGTAATATTTCTGGTTTATGGAATCCAATTAGTAGAACAAAAAAATTTGTGAATAAAAGTCCTAGGGAAAGCGATCTTTTTATGCATGCCTTTGTAGCATTCACCTCCAAGACATAACTACTTAGAAATTCACTGAGCGAAGGTTTTGGTCATCATTTTGTCGACGGGTTTCTGGTTTAGCTGTAGCCACCTGTCCTCTATAGACATTTCGGGCCTTACTTGGAAGCCTGTTTCATAGTACTATTATTAATGACTTGAGGACCGAACAGCAAATGATTTCCCTAGGGTGATAGCTAGAAGTCTATGTGGTGTAGACTCAGCATTTCCTTCACTCATGTCTTTTGACCTGAACTCTTCCTCAATTATTTAGTAAGATGCCCAGAATAAATGTCCCCAATATATTTGTAACAGGCTTCTATAAACCAATTGATTTCTTTGCACTTGCTTCTTGTTGCCTTGATATGATTCCAATGGGTGTTAATTCAACCACTTGACTACACTAATTATTGTCAGTGTGGTAGCTATTTGTAAATTTGTATATTGTGTAGTCCAGGTAGTAGGGTTTCTGTACACCAGCAGCTAACAGATTACCAGGCAGGAGGTTGAGTAGTTCAAATGTGAAAACAATAAAGTGAGAATTCAAGTACTGACTGGGTGAAACTCTAATTTATGGACGACCTTTGAACGAATTTTTAAGGGACCTTGAGGACATTAGCCAATCAGAAGAGAGTTAGTATAAAGTAAAAATATATTATAAAAGAGTGATGAATTACAATGGATATTCTTCTTTTACATTATTTGAGAACTTGTTGAGGTTTGATATAGATTCAGAAGTTTTGAAATCATAGTGCATGCGGTATAAGAACTCGTCCATATGACTCTATAATAATCGTCCTCTGGAGCCGTGGTAGGGTTTTAAAGAATACTTCAGCCTAGACCACATGCCCTCAGTGTTGTTTGTATGGACCCCCTGTCGTTGGATCAAGGAAATAACGTTTGTACACCACAACATGATGCACAAAACCAAGTCTGGAGAGGCATCTATACGCTTTCCAAACATCGGTATAGCCGCAGCTAATGTTACTGGAGACTTTATGATCCAATTTGCAACGATTATCATGGTTTGTCTTAGCCTTAGCCGTGACCGGGTAAAAAAGTGACAGTTCGAGCAGATTTTTTCTACAACATACAGTACAACGAAATACAATATCATCGCGGCAGTCTGCACATCGTGCTACGGTCATTTAATTGCCGCAGTCACAGACACAGGAACTTCCTAATAGTCCCATCTGCTGTAGTCTCTCAACGATCACCTATTCTCTAAAATCTGCTGTAAAACGATCGAATGTGAGCATCTCGCACTGAACTTAGCGCCATGACCTTGAAATTCCTTAGACGCTTCTGATTGGCTCGTCCATAAATTAGAGTCCTACCTACTGACTGTTTCAACGATAAATAAATAAGTAATTTATTTAATTGATAATATGTTAGGGGGCGGAATTTGAGGGATGAGAGGGAAAAGAGAGATGATAATAATAGATATGCGAAGTGGTTATAAGCTATGGCGTAATGATAACCGTGGTGGTTGTCGATACATACATCAGGTACAGCTAGTTCAAGGAGATGGTAACCCACGGGTAAGTATGTGTTTATTGTCTCCTCCTGAGGCTGTCCACTTATGAGGCTAGGGTCACTTAGGCTGTTACAACATTCCATTTGGGATCAACTCCTAATGAGAAAAAAGTGAGAGCCTACCTTGATGCTCACCTTTTGATGTACAGGCTTTCGAGGGTTGCTCCGAGAAGCATGGTGTTGCTCGTTTTGTAGTAGCTTAGTGTAATTTATATGTTGTATGCCCTTATCAGATCACTTGCAGCTCAACGAGAATGATTTCAGGTATTGGAGTTTGTCCATAAACTTAATAACCCTTCCCTGTAGTTGATATACAAGATTTATAACTTTTAGAGAGAGGGTCGCAACAGCATTATGGACTTCAAGCTAGAAAAGTTTGTACGTTCCAAACAGTTTGGGGCAGAACTCCGGGTTGACTACTCCAAGTTATCTTTACACAAAGTGGATAGTTGTATTTGACATCCCCTGTGTAATTTGAATTGGTGTCTAGTCTATGTGATTACACGTCCAATATCACACTATGAGGCGACAACTGGGGGCAGAGTTTTACGGAAGGTGTAAGTGCGTTGTGTCAAATTAGATTGTCTACCGACTATCCTTCCAAAATCTTTTTTCAAGTCATGTGCGTTTGGTTCTCGTAAATTACTTGAATTAATATTCTATGAAATCAAGTTTTTTTAGGTACGCTAGGGTTAAGTATAATCTTACTTTGGAACTTGAGCGAAGTACTGTGTGACTCAGCACGGGAGCCTATTGAAGATTTGTTAACTAAATGTACTTTGTTTTAGGGGGTGGTTCTTTTCTTTAGCTCATTTGTTTCTGCACTTCTGTCCACTTCCCGTCACTAGAGACACCTATGTCACGACGAGTTGGAACTGAGACGGTCTTATCCTGGTAGTCAGGTATGACTTTAGGGTCGTGATCAACAACATCCAGTGATGTTTAAATCTTTGTTTCGAAGGAAATTTCTCGCTTTCATGTTTCGCACTCGGGTGTTTGACTTCTACGTTAACGGCAATTACTACAATGTCACATTCTTTGTTGTCAGTACTCAAATTACCAGTGTAGCTACCATCAACTTTATCGCTGGTCAACTCCAGGAGGTCCATTGCCTGTTGGATCAGTGATGTCTCGCTTGACCAGCAAAACACAGAATGCCAATGAGTTTCGGGCCTCAAGAAACATTTTGTTTGCGATGGGTTTCGAACAAGTACATACCCTGTGGACTCATTTGTTAAACCTGTCAAGCCGCATTTCTTTCTTCAAAAAAATAAAAAATGCTTATGTACAATTATAAGTGGACAGATTCAATGGGAAAGATTGACAAAAATACACATGAGACTGGTGTGTGAATCAGCTAAAACTGGAGTGCTATGGGACAAACGAGTAAAATTTCAAACTTTGATTGAACAAACTCAAACTAAAGTAGAAAAGTATACTCTTAATGAGATGAATACAGAAAAGCTAAGTTAATTCACAACAAGTGCGAAAGCCACTACCTTGTTTAAAGTCGCGCGCACCATTCACAATCGGACTCGGGAGACGCGCAATGTTTCGTTCTTCCTGTAAGTTTCGTCTTTTCAATCTATCAAATTGACTAGTTTTAAGCTCTCCAGGTAGATATGGAGCTTATATTAGAAACCTTCAAGTTTTTTCAAGCTTACGTGCTGTGGCAGGAACCACCCAAAAGCCTAACCAATCTACTGATGGTCCTATTGTAAAGGCAGAATCAATGGCAAACCAATATGAACAAGTGGGGTCTAATTGAAATATTTTATTAACAGGATGTAACTAATTCCATCGCAAGGTGGGCCAAAGCCGAGGAAATATATTATGGCAAAGAACGTGATTTCGCGAACTACCCAACTTTCAAAATAGCTCGTTGTCATCCCAAAGTCAGAATGGGTGTGTTTCCTGACTCTTGGTTTCAACCATTTTACAACAAAACCGGTGTCACTGGTAACTTTGAATTAATCCTCTTACTTCTGAGGGCCGTATATGTTCATGTTTGGTTCGTTCATGTTTTTAATCAACAAAGAAATATGGGTGTTCGATGGTCACTTTGTGGAATTTTTTGTGTTCTTGTCTATGAGTGTCATGATTGTCAAAAGATTTGGCGCTCGTACTAGAAAGATCGTAGAAAAATGGGCGAAAGTGAGTCAGAAATATTGGTATAACGTGCTCTTAGGACGATGAACACTTGATGTATCATCAGCCTATAAACGAAGTGAAAAGCTATATAGACAATACAATAAAAACTTGCGAAATGGAAGTGGAAAGAGCGGCCGCTGTTCCTGAACATGTACGTGCTAAGGAAGAAAACATTGCCTTACAACTTGAAGCTACTTATCGTGAACGCCTTCAAAGTGTATACCGAACAGTGCATCGCCGCTTAGTAAGTCCCCAGTTATTCATATGACAATCATAACCGAAAACCCCCATCCAAGACAACCTTTCCATTTCTCTTGGACATATCCAGATTACTAACCATGAAGTGGCGATCAAAGTTGACGAAAAGCCAAATTGGGCACTGTTACTGGACGTAATTTGTCTGTTGAGACTAATACCAGGTAGTGGGTATTCCAAGTTTTGTAGTGGCGGTCGCGATGAGTTTCCGCAATCTTGCCGTATATAATGGGAGACAACAGAAGCATCAACTGTTTATCTAAAGGTTCGTCAGTAAGAAATCATGCTTATTATGGTTGAACGGTAGACATCAGTCTAGTACTTTAATGATAACACCTAATTGGTCTGCTTAGTGGTTTCTCTTTTACGAGTCATACTATTTATTATCATGGTTCTTGTTTGTCTGAAGAAATATTTCTAATCGATGTGAAAATGAACTCAATTGCTCATATTCCTGTAGTGTATTAAAAGAATGCATACAATGTAACGCTTCCTACGGAATTTCTCCTAATGAGTTATTTCTGATGATTCTTTTATATAGGAATACCATGTTGAACGTGAAAATACGCGAAAACGTTACATTCAACAACATATGGTGAACTGGGTGGTAGATCACGTGGTCAAAGGGATCACTCCTGTCCAAGAAAAAGACACTCTGACGCATTGTATCAACGAATTAAAACGGCTGGCGCAAGCTTCCAAAGTAACAACAACTGTCCAGTGATTTACAGACGGATAACCACTTTAGATGGGGGAACGGTCTATTTTAAACCAATATATTAGTATATTCCTAAGCTCTTCTTTTCACTCCTCTAGCTCTTATTATGTTAGATGTTAATAAGTGTGGATGCAGTATTGAGTTTAAACGGTTGTGTCAGGATGCTTGAAAAATATTTCAATCCACTGTAAAGCACTTATGTTTTAGTTTTGTTTATCAAGATGAAAAAACCGTTTTGTAATCATCCATCTTAGAAGCCAACCAAGGATTAAAAAGGAAAGCAACTGAATCTCAATTGATAAGTAACTTTTTTAGTCGCCCACACTTCTTATTTCTCTATATCACCTGTAACATCTTTTTGGACGGCGGCTTGACTGACTATTTAGAGCTCTTTTAATTGTGATCACTACAGCACCAACACATTAGGGTTGATCAGACTTCCAAGTTGAGTGACGTTGTTGACGCGTTCGACTACTTCACTCCTTATCCTTTGTTCAGGTGTTGGCGCAAGCCAGTCCCGAAGCAACAATTAGCATTTAGAGGGGAGGAACGCATCCCAAATATTCTGGGATTATTGCTCAGTTCTGTTTCCAACCTCAGGTCTATGATAAAATTAAACACAAGTGGAGATAGTGGACAGCCTTGCCGGACACCACTTAAGGTTGCAAGATCAGATGACAGTTTTCCATAAGCTCTGACTCGACTGGTAGTGTTCGAGTAAAGAGTCCTCATAATGTTTATGTGCTTCTGAGGTACACCGTTCAATGACAGGCACTGCCACAGAACCTTTCAGTCTACAGGGTCCAATGCTGCCTGTGTTCTAAAACCTGATAAATGGTGAGTATGTGATTGATGCAGTCATGACTAGGTGTGAAGCTGGCTTAAGTTTATCGTGTTTGAAGTTCACGAGTCTTTGTTAAGCGTCCGGTTATTACTAAGGCTAGTATTTTAGATGCTATGTTAGTCAAACTAATCCCTCTATGGTTATCACAGGATGGTTTTGACCCCTTATATATTGGGCAATCAGTGATTGCGATCACTCGGATAGGATTACGTTCAACTCCCAGATTTTAGCTAAAATATTAGTTAACCTAATCGCTAAAACTAGACCTCTGGAGCCAATGCATCTGGACCAGCTACTTTTCCTCATTTCAGATTTGCTATAGCCTTTTGAATTCAACTACATTCGGGGACCTAATTCAATGTCCCATTTAGGCTGTTTGGGAATGGTGGGTAGTTATGGACTAGCTGAAAGCCAGCTGGACTGCTCCTTAAAGTGTCCAGTCCATCGTCATAGACGTTTGAACTGAGACCAGATAAGTCATCGTTTTCCGAGATCGTCTCACTTGATTTCTAATTTCGGTTTCCTGTATTAGTCTGAAAAGCTGTCTTGTGTTGCCTACAGCCGCTGCCTTTCCCATCTCTTTCGCTTTCGTTTCCCAACACTGCTCTCTGTCGTTTTTTAGATTTTTGGTTGGTTTGAATCTGATTTTTTTCGTTTTTCATCGTGTTCGGAGCCTGTTGGGATGAGTTGGCGAGAATCCATCAGTGCAATAGACTTAGCAGAAATTCAGTGGTTTTCCCTGACCCTTCGGTTCAAATCACTGGTAGATGTCGCTGCTGTTTCCACAGCTGTTCATAGATCCTCCCAAGTAACATATGAGTCAGCCTCGTTTTCGAAGTTGCCTAAATTTTCACTCAAGTTTCTCATGGCATTTACCAAACAGGTATTCCAGAACGAGCGACAGTCTTCTGTCAAGTCTCTTCAACGATGACTGATGGCAATATGGTCTATTTTAGTCCATGCAGTGGGTTGCCATGTTAGACAGTGTCTCTCCTTATGTTTAAAATTAGTGCTTGCTAAAAATAAACGATTGTCTGAGCATAGTTGCAGCAGGCGATCACCATTATCTGTTCGCTAATCCAGACTACTAAAATACCCACCTAAATGTCTCTGTTTGGTTTAAGCTACCTATTTGGGCATTCAGGTCACATGCTATGAGTACTATGTCTGAGTGTTTAACCTTCTGAAGAGGTTCAGGAAGCTTTCTGTAAAAGTCATCTTTCGCTTCAACCAGGCTGCAGCCAGTGGAAGCGTGGGCAGAAACGACGTAAAGGCAACTATGTGTCTATATTTTTCCGAGTTTTTACGGAGCTGTTCAGTCGAACAGCACATAGGCGACTGTTAACAGGTATTCATTCTAATAGTGCTTGTTCTGCCCTCCTACTTAGGGCTATGCCTACACCTACCAGTTCACGAGAATTAGCCATCGGCTTGCCAGATACACAGGGTGTATCTCGTCGGCTTTCTGTTTTGACGAGGTGAGGTCAAGTAAATAACAACACTAGGATCCTGTATGCGTGTTTCGGAGACAGCATACATCAATCGTATGAGATTGTAGGGTTTTAGCCAAGGAGGCCTGCTGGTCCATTTGACATCGGGTGAGTACGTTGAAGGCTCCAACGTGTAGTTTGGAGCGACGTTTTAGTAGACTTGAGATAGTGTTTCGCGGACTAGAATCGTTGACCACGGTGACACTTGAGGAGGAGATTAAGAGTTGAAAGTCGACTCATGAGGAATAATAGAAATTGAAGAGGGACACTGGTCACGAGTATAATGATCTTGAGTGTTGTTGGAGGTATGAGGGCAGTTATCACTTACCGGTCGCCCACACCGTGAAAGGGTTCTTCTGGAGGTACCTGGAAAGGAAATTGAAAGGTCTTAGTGACCTGAGAGCGTGACTGCCGTGCCCAAGGGACAACTGATTGAGGTCAGTCACACACGACTTTTCAGTGAGTAATTTTCATGTTAGCTCGGTACTTGTCGGAACCTCACCACCGGAGATAAGGTGAGGTGTGCATTTTTAGGGTCGAATTTTTTAACCCCACATTTCCTTGTGGGAAGGCACCATCACTGTTATGCTGGTTGTGTGAAGGAAACACCGTACTGCCGTCACACCTCTGTACAGTCAGCAATACGACTTCGCCTTCTGACCTTGGGTTGCTGCTTTTAGTCTTCAACCGACCTATCTGGCATGGTAGGACATTGAGGAACGATTGTTCCAGCCAGTATAGTGCGACTGGTTAATTACGATAGGCAAGCCCGATCACCACGTCTGGTTAGCAGCAACGGTCGGGTATTACTACTAGCCTTTAGATATACATGTATATGCATCAGAGAAACTGTGGAATGAAGTTCTAGAAAAGATTCCTTGCATGGTTAAAAGCTGAGTAACGAGTGTTAATATGTAATCTTTAAACCCAATCGTAGTGTTAGTTTGAAGAGGTTGAATGTAAAATACATGCGAAACTTGGCCTTAGAGGTGGGGATTTTCAACGGCTGTTTTCATTGGGTTGTGCGTTACTCCACATTGTTGTTCTTATCCAATAAAACTTTGTAATCCTGACATGGGACTTATTATGACAGAGATAAGTTTGGTTATCCTTCTAATCCAGACAAGTCACACGTTGGCTTCTAAACTGATCAGTGCTACTGCTAGAGACACAAGAGATAGTTTATAACACGGTGTCGTATGAAGTATGGTTACATTTTACTCTATAAGCAGTCAGTTCGTTCTAACTCCGTAAACGATATCTTAGAGTTGGTGGTAGATCGATCTAACGTGTCAGTAAAATGCAGGTCTATAGTGTTGCTAGTGTTTTACCCTTCACCTCAATGGCTATAATATGAAAGCGCATCTAGGTGTGTTTTGTGTCAATGCTCCTTTTTTCCCATCATAATTCCTAAGGTATATAACCTTTCACGCCTCAAAGTTGAACTGTCATGTGGCTCTTTTCTTCACGTTCATATACGTATTTTTGTCTAAACAGTGAAAAAATGTCTACTGTTTTGACGAGATACTTCAAAGTAGCATAAACTAAACGGTGAATAATGATACGGATTGTGCTTGTAGTTGTAATTTCTTTACTCCTTAATCCTGATTTCTCATAAGCACAGATTTTGACATAGACCTTAGTGATGCCTTTGGCACAGCTTTTGAGGAGGCATGAGTTCAGTGAAGATGACGTTTAGCGTGATTTTAAAAGCTCGGTCCCTAAAACCTCGTTTGAAAAGCGGCGAAACAATATGACGAAATGGTACTGATCCTAATGAGTCTAGATCTTCGACAGGACACAATCAAGAACTAAAATTCGAAGTACACAGTATGAAATTGTATTAAGTTGTTATGATGTGTTTAAACACAACGAAAATGTTTAACTGCACAATAAAATTGTTAGTTACCACACTCACCATACGTTGGTTTTTGGTCTACGTGTTCATAATGTAGTCTGAGTTTAGTTGCAATTCTGTTAGATCTCAACTGTCCAGCAATTTGGTTTTTATTCTCTTCATCAATCTGCGATTTGGAATTATTTAAAGGGTCGTTGGCGACAGGAAAATCATTGGAATTAAGATTGGAACTATTTGAAGTTCAGAATTAGAGTTAGTTAGAGAGTAATCAGAATTATAGTTGTAATCACCAATTTCATTAATCTTCACTTGGTCTAAGGGTCTGCTGTGAACTGAATGATCATTCGAGTCAAGAATCTCTGCCATCCGGATTACCCATTCTCTGAAATATAATCCACGCAGATGGTCGGTAGTAATTTCTTTGGTAAAATTGTACTTCTGATATTTTGTTCACCAAATGTGTTCGATTTGAAGAGTTTAACCAGACTGTCATGAGTTCTTGAATGTTCTGCATTACGATAATGAAGCAAGGAATTATTGATGCATTTTTCTAACTCTTCTAGATTACTTAAATCCACAGTAGCTCTCTTTGAAGTTCGGATGGAATTTTGTTATACTATTAGACTGAGGACGTCGTGGGGCTGTGATTAGATGACGGCATCCAATGTCAGTAAGCCAGCTGCCCAACTCTTTCTGTAGATGGTTTCCATTGTCTGTTAATAATAGATTGGATATCCCTTTACGACTGGATATATTTCCTTATCGCTGTTTGAGTGAAGTGTCTGCTAGGACTGTTCATTAGTACCACTTCTGGCCATTTGGAATATGAATCGATAACAACTAAAGCACACTTTGAGTTTAGTAACAGGTCACAGTAATCCTC